CACATCTGGTTACGCAACAGATAGAGAGAGCAAAACAGCTATTTTTCTACGTCATTTCAAAAAATCAGTTCCCATAATCCTGTTCTTTAAATAAATAATGAAGCAGTATCTTCAAAATTTTGAGAAACACATCTGAATTGTCGACAGTTTGTTTTAATGATGCGTTACTGGAATGCATAGTTGTGCTGTTTTAGTTTTATAATGCATCAAAAAGTATTTTGTGTTATTTCCTGTTATTAATTATAAATTGAATTAAAATTACTTTCGCAATCCGCATTTAACTAAGAAATGCAATTATTTCGTATTTCTTATTGTATAAGATTTTAATTAGCAGTCTTCCTCTGGTCTGGTTTATTTGATTATGGCAAAGCACTCAGGGCTATCTTCCTAAGGGAAGGGATGCCTTCGTGGAGGACTTCCTAAGGAAAACTGGCTCGTATACACGTTAAACATTGAGAAAACCAAGAAAATGTCCATGCAACCAGCTCGTTCGCTTGATTCGAGTCTCAGACCGAACATCGAGTTTTCAGCGACTTTATCGCTCGGCTACTGGTAAGCCAGCTTTTTGCTGAACAAGGAATATTTTAACATAGTTGCTTATCTATTTAGCTTTTCCGTAATTAATAAAAAGAATTAATAATTAATAACTTTCGAAACTAGAAAATTTCTTCACCAGTAGTAAAATAGACATGTTAAAAGCTGAAAAGCTTAGTATATGATATTCTAAGCACTTATTTTTAAAACATATTTAACATCATAATCGTAGTTTGGGCTTTTTTGCATAAATATACGTAACAGAAAAATTAAATCCATAATAACCTTAGAATTTTTGAATAAGTGTATGAAGTATTTTCCCCTCCTTTCAGCAGGCCTTCGTGTTATAAATTGAAGCCCGCTCGACGTGTATCCGGGAGGTCAGGAGTTCGAATCCCGGTGAGTGCACTGCGGATTTCTTCAATTTCCCGACATCAAAAAATTCTAAGAGGTTCTTCAAATGGTGCCCGATCTAAAAAGTGGGGGACGATAATTCATTACCATCAGGTCTGGCGACTGATTCCTTTAATCTCCTGTAGCTCTTTAAAAAGAGGGAGTATATAAAGTATTTTCTCCCTTCTTCCCGCGTATCTTTGTGATGTAATAGGAAGCACACTTGACGCATATTCGGGAGGTCTGGAGTTTGAATCATTATGTTCATTTAATGCATTATTCATTAGTCTTTGGAACTTAGCAGCTGTATTTTCAATCCAAAAGGGATCACTTTCCAACGATATTGGAAACGATGTGTTTTGAATTATATTAAATTACGACTCTCTTCTTTGAAAGGTATCTCCCAGTAATCTTTTAAAATGTCTACGCAAGTGATACGCTTGTACAATCTGATTGATTAGATCAGTCATACTCTTCATTGGAAAATCAACAGGCTTAGTCATTGCATTCAATAATCTGAAATCGATGCACAATCGCATATTTCCATCTTTCTTGGCCACACATTCAACTGGATATGCTATTTCAGCTTCACTTGGCTCAATAAGATCCTAATTCTGTATCTCTTCAATCTGTTTATCTATTTCAGATTTCAAAGATTCAGGAATCTTATAAATATATGCCTTTTTTCCTTTCACCTCCAGGCAACAAAATTAATTTTATGTTCCCCAACAAGGGCTATTTATATTTACCAGAGAAAAACACAATAAAACTGCTAAAGAACCTCTTGGTTGTCTTCGTACTGTCTGTCTACGAGAAGAACGCCTCCCGCCCACAGTGTCTGGCGGGTGGCGATCACTATAGCAACAGGGCTAGTATATTTCAAATAGGGGCGAACCAAGGGTTGCTTTATTATTAATTTGTTTGGGGGACTGTTGACTGAAGGGATTGGATTATTTAATTATGGCAAAGCACACGAGCGCTATCTGCCTAAAGGGTGGGATGCCTTCGTGGAGGACTTTGTAAGGGAAACTGGCTCGTATACACGTTACACATGGGGAAAACCACGAAAACGCCCATGCAGCCAGCACGTTCGCGGGATTCGAACCTCGGACCGAACTACCAGTGTTCAGCGTCTTTACCGCTCGGCCGCTGGTGGGCCGAGGGAAAAAAGAGTTATCATACGTCTTCAAGACACCCCTACGGGAAATGGATCAAGGCTCGTTTCTACGGCAACAGACAGCTGCAGACTAACTGGCGAGAGCTTTTCTTACGATAGACAGACCGTACATCAGCTAAAATGGTGACATTCCAGTGGTGCAGTTCGGTACTTCTCGGTAAGCAAAGAGAAAGTACAGGATGTGCTTATACCAATTCGAAGGGTCATTCCTGATGACATGATGTACCATTTGCTTGATGGACTTTTCCCATCTTTCCACTAATCGATTTGAAGCGCTGTAAGCAAATGTGAAAATCTAGGGTGAGAACCTATTTTTCCTGAAATTCTTTAGTTAATTTTGAAACAAAGTTGCTTCTGTTGTTACCTGGTATTCATTGGGAATTCCTGTTCTCGTAAATATCTCAAAAAGTGCCTCGCAAGTAGCTTTTGCTGTCAGTGGATTTTTCTCAGTGGGATTGCTTCTGGTCATCGGGAATGTTGATCTACTAGGCATAACACGTATTAATGAGTTCTAGCAGAAGGAGGTTCAATATGTCTAAGTCTGTCAATATTCACTACTTTGAAAGGTAATTCTGGTCTTATGACCGATGTGATGAGAAGCTTGTCCTATCGCTTTTCCGGACTCTTAAACTAACAGTTTTTGCATGCTTTAAAAAAATATCGACGTCTTGCGCTAATCCGGGCCAAAAATGAATACTCTTGCCTCTTCCTTGTTTTCTATGAAGGCATGCTAAGAAGGCGGGAGAAATACCTTATAAAGTAAAACTTCAGTTTTAATGCTGTTTGATTCTAATTTGTTTATTAGTAATTTTACAGCTGCATTATTTCAACCAGTCATAAATGCTGCGGCATCAGTTGGTACTCCGAAAAGAATTTCTAAACGCAAATCGTTTTCGCATGAGCAGTTTCCGACAGCTGAAAAATGTCTTCTGCTTTTCTAGTGTCCTTCAAACTGATCAGGTTTAACATTTCTTCGGTTACTTGAAATTATTCATTTATCCCATAAATCCTACAAGCAGAGCTATGTTCGAAATATCTATACTTTAACCAAATACCCAGGCAAGCATTTGAAATTTCGAATTGGATCTCGCAGCTTTGTAACAATTTCATTCGAAATGCCGATAATTCGCCGACATACTTTTAGTAGAGATAAACTAATATTTAAAAATAATTTACTTTTATCAGGCACTACATCTTTTGCAACAGCTTCTGAACATTTTTTACAAACTCAATTTCAGAAAATGGCTTCATTCTTTTTAGCAATTGAAAGTGAAACGAAATAAATTGCTTCACAGCATTAGATGATGATTATCGTAGATCTAAACTGAACATTCTTTGTCGACCTTTTAATTGCGATTTAAATGCTGTCAGCTTTCATTTTTTTTACTTCTTTCTAGAGTGTCATAAAATCTCTATGTTTTGTTTCGTAATGTCTTTTCAGACTGTATTCTTTAAATACAGCGACAGTTTCTAAACCAATTAAACACATTAATTTGGAGCTTTGAATAATAAAACAGTACTTTTCTTCCCGTTGTTCACTGTTTTGTCTATAAGCCATCAATTTTTTTTTCTTTGCACTCATACCAAAAATTTACTTAATTGAAGACACTGAACAATCTTTCTGTACCCGTGCGCATCAGGACCGAATATATTAAAAGTGACAGTCATGTGATCCCTCCAGCTTTGTCTTGATTACTTTTTCGACCTCTCAGAAGCAGTGACGTTATAACTCCGACGTGTTTCTGTTGACAGTTACCATGACGGTCCGTGTTGCTTTTACTCAGAAGAGTCAGAACTGATTTCTTAATTCTTGGCTTAGTAAACTAAATGTAACAAATTACAAATTTCTTCAATTTCGCCGTGGGCAGCAAAATTTTACACGGTGGGTCGCATGTGGCTCTCGGGCCTCTGGTTGGCCATCCTTGTTTTAGTAAACACTGGGAGGCTTCAGTATTAACACATAGCCAATCTGCAACATTATTTTCATAAATTAAAATTATTTCTAGTTAAATCAAGTTTTTTGTATGATTCTAAAATAACAAAACTAAACCAAAATAATAATAACATTATTTAGCGTTTGGAAACTGATAAATTAATTGTGTAAAATAGTCTTTCGGCATACCAGTTGTAACAAAACTATAAATTAAAGAATGTTAACACAGCAATAAATTGCAAAATAATAAAAGAATGTCAATGAATGACTTTTAAAGAAAAGGAACTACCTCGAATTATTTTAACTGATTTATTGACCGGCCTTTCAAGGCAAGTGGAAAATAATGCAAAAAATTGCAAATTTTGAAATTGAGGAATGAAATTTGCCATATTTTATTTTTTATTATGAATATAAAGTTTTCTTAAACATAAGTGCAAGGACTGCGGTAACGTAGAAAAAGTTAGGTTTCGTAATTTTTATAAAATTCATTTTTTTAATCAAAAAATGTCAAAGCACGAATAATTGAGTCATTTAAAATATTTTTATGATAGTATTTGTTCTGTAAGTACATTTGTCTGCTACCAATGATTGCAAGAATAAAAACCTTTTATGGACACAGTGTACATTATTCTGACTTTCTAGTGATCATGATGCATTCCTTAGTAAAAACACTTATTGCAATCAAAACTTTATTTCAGAGGGCTTTTCTTGCAACAAATAATGTTTATAGTACGTTTTATTTAATGATGGAAGGGGAATGCATTTGTTGGATATTAAAAACAAGATATTTTAAAGATAGCGCATCATGACATATTCTGTCTATTCTAACTGATTAGACCAGAACTATATACAATCTGATTACATGATAACTGATCGGAAGATCCAAACGTTTAATTTCGCCAACCTCAATGCTGATTATCGTCAAAAAGATCAAAGTTTATGAAGCCCTTTTTCCTGCCTCTACCATCGTTGGTTTACGATGAAGCAGCATCTTCAGAATTTAATGTCTTAAGCAGTGGATTTGAAACTTCATTGGTTCTACAAACGATTTGCATTAGTTTAGCTGCAAAGGAATTATGGCACAGTTTTTAAATAATTTCATTGCAAACTTGTTAAGTGGTGATGACAAAATTAATATGTTTCTATTATCAAATGTGATTTTGGACTTTCTTTCATTTAAATGAGATTTGGAATAACCGCTTTTATCTTACATCTTGTCCGTTTCTAAGCATACCCAAGGAAGAGTAAGTTTGACAGCATTTTTATTAATCAAATGGTATTTTTGTGATAAGTTTTTTGATGATAAACCAAATTTTAAATATCTTAATGCATGGAAAATACTCATAAATATTCTATATATCCAGAAATTGTTTCCATACAGCTAGATATTAATATTTTTTTGCTCTAATTTTGTTATATTTTCCTTTTTCTGCACGTATCTGAAAACATAAATATCTTAGCGAAAATGATGCTGACTATTCTTAAATGTTTTGAAATTGCTATCACAATGCAATATAAAATTTATTGCTTAATTTAACCAGTTATGGGAAAATTTAAGTTGGTTAAAATTACTTAGGCAAGAATTACGTTCAGTTTCAGTCTATTGTTCATATTTAGAAATGGAAATAATCTAGGCACATTAAATCACGAATATTCGTGAAGTTTTTATCTTTAGATATCAACCTGCTTTAAAACTACCTAATTAAATGCATAGTTCTGTTTTCTCCCGCCTTTTAAAATAATCTCAGCCCTTCGCCGCAAATACTGTAGTGAACACTAGATATAACAATCGTTTCATTACAACGAAAGTGTAAAAGGTGGCCGGTTGATGAGGTGGTATCAAATCCATTTTCATAATCACACACATTATGACGTCTTTTTTTAAATTTATTTACGGCATGGTAAGGGAGGCCTTTTTAAGAGCATCTGTAAAACAATCGTCTAAAAATTAAGAAAAGAACTTCTTATAACGGAGTTATCTATTATTTCAGTCGTCATTTAACTAGAATTATTATAAGTAAAATCACAAAATTCTAATATGTAGAGAGAGAGAGCGAGAGGGAGAAAATGAAAGAAAGTAACAAATGTCCAAATATTTTGAAAATAAACACTTTTGCTCTATTGTCTGGCATAAAAATATATGAGCAGTGAAAACTTTCCATACCCATACTTTAACTGTAACACATAATTTAACACTTTCTGGCACGCTCAAGTCGGAGTTTTGATAAAAAAAAAGGTAGGCAGTCTAATTAGGCCTAGAGGAGTACACAAGTAAAATTTTGTGAAGATAGTACTTATCTTTTAATTCTGTGGGCACACTGATTGAATAGAGCTTCGTAAAGAGTGTTGAACCGAGCATTGTTGTCAATGAACTGACCGATGAGATGCGGATAAACAAAGAATACAGACTCTCAGTTGTCCTAGATTATCGCTGAGCCCGGTCTGGGCACACCTAGGGTTCGCCGTTTGATTTTAGGCAAGATTTCAAGTTAAAAATTTAAAACTAACATAGAATAAGGAGATTAGCATACAGAGAAAAAATAACATAGAAATTTCTTTTCAAACAATACCTTTTATACCCTAAAAAACTCTGGAAGATTTCTTTGAAAAATGAGGGTCTTAAAAAACTAAACATGGCTAAAATATATGGACTGGTTTGTGTTGAGCTTCCATCTACTATAAATAAAAAAGGTTCAGAGTAACCTATAGTAACCTATAAATCCTTTTTCATTCAATTTTTCTCTGCGTACAGAAGGAAATTTTTAGGTGTGTCTAGACCGGACACACAGTGCCGCAAAGGCTTAACCATCCATGAACTCAATTGTGCATTTTTGGAGGGATATCAAATGAAAGTATTCAAATCGGGAAGTTGTTAAGCAAAACGAGAATAGAAAAGCAATTCATTTTTCATATTAAGCAAAACAGGAATAGAAAATCAGTTCATTTTTCATATTATAGCTTCTGTATCAGAATTTTCCTCCATTACCAGCTTTTGGTTAGAAATATCAGTAAAAATAAGCTAATTTTCTTTTTGAAGTTAACACAGAATTACTAAACCCTTATTATTAGCAAAACTCAAAATATCGCACGCAAAAAATTAAACTTATTTATTAATTCTTAAAAATTTAATTTAAAATAAATTTAACATCTTCCACTCAGTTTCTTTTACTGCAAAGATATTAATTTTATTGAAATTGATTAAAAAAATTTCGAATTTGTTCTGCCGAAACAATTCTTCCGAAAAAAAGCAAATTACTCTAAGTACTATCGATATGAGATTTTGGGCTACAGAAATCAACGTAGAAACGTTTATATCGACCACATCAAAGCTAAAGCTCTTCAAAGCTGCTGTTGTTACAAATTATAATAAAACACTTAATCTTCTCTAAAATGTATGATTTAACTTAACATAGTGCTAAAAGCGAAATAGTTATAGTTTTGTTCCTTTGTAAATTTTTAACTGCAACGAAAACCGTACATTTTCAAAGCACTAGACCACCTAAGACACATTTCTTTTAAAAACGTATCATACGTACAGTGTTCGCATAACACTTATAAAATGTTATGCTTTTCTACTTTTCTTACACAGTTTAATAACATAAAACATATTTCTGTGATGTATTGTGTTACTCCACTTTATTAATGAAATTTAAGTATTATCAACAGTTTACTTTTATCTTGAAAAAAATTGAAAGATATAGAGAACTTATCTAAATAAGTAGTCTTTTTAGGCTGAACTATATTATTTATTTTAAATAGTAGTAGTTCGCTGCGACATTTTGTAATTCCCAGAAAAAATGTCGGGCTTGAGTTTTGAACCCTTGAACTGAAGTTCAAACTATCTTCATTCAAAATGTGACTGTCGGCGTATGGCAAACATAAAATTATGCATTATTTTCTCAGCATTAAGTTGTTCAGATAACTGACAGATTTAAATGCAGGATGTAAGAACTTCACGTCGTTTATGAGGGTTTTACCGCTACATGAGCATCCAGACAGAGCATAATTACCAGGAACGCTTACCAACTATTCGTTTGGAAGCACAGTTACTTGCGTAGCAAGTTGCATTGATACGAGAAATTATATTTCGAGTATGAGTGAATTAACGTTTTGTGAGTTGTAAGTTTCTAATGTGGCTACAAATAGTCTAACCCTTAAGTGGATATGTGCCTGGATGACTTAATTGGCAGAAAGTACGTACAGATAGCAATATAGGCTAAAAAATTTTTATTAGCTTCTTTGCATATTCTCCTCTCTGAAAAGTATATCCTTTTGCATTCTGCTTTTATAATTTACGCGAATATTTAAGCGCTCTAAATTAGAGTATATTCACAAATTAATGTAACTTACACTGTAAAGTGATTTTATGAAAATCAGCTAATATTGATTCGAAATGTAGAAATGATTCATTGTTTTAATAACCGATCAAATAATTTAGCTGAAACTTACAGGAGTATAATACAGTTAATCTGTCAGTATCATAGTTAGTTAGCTACAGAATATAAATTAAATGCGCTTTTCTGTTTAGAGCTAAAATTTATGTTTACAAGTTTATTCTACAAATTCCTGATGATTACAGTTGAAGTCCCAAAATAATATTTACTACTCTGCATCAAAATACTCTAGATTATATGCATATAGAAGGCTTAAGAAGTAGTTTTCATGTACTAAACTTAAAAGCCAAATTTGTTAACGTAGCTATCAGCCTCGAAATAAGAAAAATCAGGAAGTCTTCACTCCCCAAATCCGAAATTTCAAGGAGGTTTTTCGCGCTGTACGACGGCATCATTTCAAAAGAATTCCAATTTGACTTAAATTTGTTTTACAACTCATGATTTAAGTTATTCGACTAGTTATAATATAATTCTGACGTAAAATATGTTAATATTTAATTAGATATTCTAAATTTTATGGGGGGGGTTCTAATTTCATTTTGCAATTTTCTTACACTTTTGTACTAAGAAAATCCTAATAAGGAAAGAAAGCTCTATCAAAGTAAGCATGATGGAGATAAAATTGATAATTAATGTGCATTAATAAGTGGATAAACTGAGTAATGTAATATGTATTGACGTACAATAATGATAAACCCAAATATTTACTGAATAAACATTGGTTAAATATTGAAATGAAGTCTTACAGATGTCTAACAGATTCAAGAAAATTTAGATAAAATATAACTCAATAAGAAAATTCTGCTGAAACTCGCTAGGGGTGGAGGAGTAAAATTTGCACAATTTAACTTTCATTAATTCTATAAATTCTATTTATTGCAGAAAAACACTTTATTAGTAAAGGCTAGAAATTAAAAACTGAAAGTCTAGAAAACGTAATGAAAAAACCGAGAGCATCCTGCTAAAACCGAAAACAATTGGCCACTACGCACTTGTTAAATGAATATTTTTCTGCACACTGTCGATCAATAATCAGGACAAAAACATAAAATAACAATTATTTCTCTCCGTGCACGAAAATTATTTAATTAATAAGATTTGTTACGAATTTTATGAAAGTTTATTGCATTTTTGGCAGTTGAATATTTCTTTAATTTTAGGCAACAAAAATGGCAGTCTGCGGTAACATAAATAAGAGGCTTTTGCCAATGAAGATGGTTATGTTTGGATGGTTTGGAGGTTAGTATTAACCTAAAAATTATATACTTTCTTAACTTTATCGTTTTAACTCTGTGTCATTTTATGTCTCTAACTTTATACTATGTAGCCGTACTTTAGATGAGGAAGAGTATTTTTATACCATAATATCATTATTTATTAAAACTGATACTTTTAGTATGCACTAAATTCAAATATATTTAATGCAATGAATTGAGTACCCCAACTATAAATATAGTTTATAATGAAAGTTAAGTATTGAAGAAGATTAAAAAAATGGGCAACTAAAAAATTCAACATTTTATGAACATTTCAATTACTTGATAATGAACAAGATAAATCTAAACTCTGACGCATTAAAACATTTATGAAATTTATTGTAACATCAATGAATTTTTGTTTCTTAGTGTACGAGAAAAAAATTATCCCTTAATTTTCTAATACAGGTAATATCAAGGCATATCTTTGCATTGCAATGTTTGCATTATATCTTGCTAATGCTTGTTTTATATGTTATGATGTTAGTACCGGCTTATATTGGTATACATCCTTATGCTGTAATATTTATAGTGTAATTTTCTGATTGACAAGGTTAACTAAGCAAACAATTAATTAATTAATTTTTTGGCATGTAATACTTTTGTTTTAAGTACAGGAGGCAAATAAAAGATGAATGATCAGTTTCTTCATTTAAAGCTGCGAATACCTAACAGGGACTTGAGTAAGATCATGCCTCAGCTATTTATCATACATTACTTCACTATTCTGTTTATCCTGCTTGCCACTAAAATTTCAACACCAGGAAGGATGCATTCAATCGATATGAAATGTGCATCATGGAAGAAAAAGTAAATGATAAGTAACACATATGCAAATCATGTGCGCCATTAGCCCCTCTGGAAACCTTATAAGAAAAAAAAACACTCTTAAATACTGAAATTTAACTTGTTCACTGTTTTTATATACAGTCGACATAAATAATATCTCGATGAATAACGTAGCTATACTGTCAGAGTTTTAATTTTAATCTCTGAGAGCTGAAACATATCGATACAGTATATTATCCTATAATAAAGTAGCTATACTGTCAGATTTCTAATTTTATTTGCTGAGAATTGAGGCATATCGAGACTACGTATTACCTTCCTGAAAACTTGTACTCGTGTAGGAAGGAATGCAGCTATAGCCAGAGGTGGATTTATGAAATGGAAGACCCATCGTTTCTGAACTTTTCTCGACCCTTTATTTTAAGACGTAGAATATGTTTGATACTTAAAAGAAATAACTAATGACTTTAAGGTCCCTTGTAACGTGGACCTCCTCACAACTGCTGCATGCGGTATCTTAATGAGTCCGCCTTTGTACACGCGGTGTCTTACGAGTACGCCTTATGAGTCCGCCTTTGTAGCGCAATTTTCTTTTAGCCACGGCTGTATGACGCAATACTGTAGCATGTCAGCTATCTCTAATTCAATTACTCATGCCTAAAGACAGATTTTATTCATGGTATGATTATTGCCATGGTTTGATTATGCCAGATTGGAAGACAGGAGAAGCGTTCTTTCGAGGGTCTTCATGGGGTCTCTGTTCTAATTTCCTGTCAGGGGAAAACAGCACTGTGAGTAATTATAGGATAATTATTAGGCCTTCTAAGATCTGAGGCCTTGAAAGCGTTCTGCAAATATAAGCTGTTATAAGGTCCTGATTACTGCTTTGCATAATGAAAGACAGACCTGTCACTAAACTGCCTCTAAATATCGCTATTATCACTTAACAACTACGAAGTGAACTCTTTACTCCGATATGAGAAGCAGTTTGAAAAATCAGCTTCGAAAAAGGAGATCCAACTATTATCTTAAGCGACAGCAGTCTTCTTCATTAATATTATTAAATATATGTTCATTAATTGTTTGAAAGGCCACTAGAATGGCTGTAGAAAACTGAAAAGACAGTGATAGCTATGTATTTGGGTTACGAATTTTAGACAGATTATAAATTACGAACTGAAGTAAAATGGCTTAGAAGCCCATACGTCAAAGCAGAAGCCTTTCATTAATTGAATAAAGAGGCATTAGGATTAGAAAACAATGTATTAGGGGCGGTTTGTTACCTGAAATTGTAAAATAATAGTTGCATTTATATCCAACAAAAAAGCAACATTTTTATACGCTAATAAAATTAGATACTCATAATTTTTGCGCTGTGCAAAGCATAAAACTTCCTACTCCCTGGGATAGAAACTGAGCTGAAGGAACGGATAGGTGGCACATCATTGAAGATAATATGATGATGCTCTATCAACATCACTGAAAAAGAAATATATTTCTTTCAGCTGCTGACGTGTTCAGAAACAGTAATTTCAGCTTTTAGATGGATAATGTGTCCTACCATCTAGGATGAATATTATCTAAACGGTTTGTTTCTATTAGCCTAGAACCTACTCAGTCGCTGAACTTAATACGATCGAAAATGATTTAATGAAACTGAAATAAAATGTGAGTGCGAACAAGCCAACAGATCAAATTCCATTATCAATGCATTAGCTTTAACAGCTTGTGAAGAGCATGGTTAGACGTGCCTTAATATGGAAATGTCTAGCAAATTATTATGCTAGACGTCTTTTTATGCTACAACAAATTCAGATGGTGACAGTAGGCAAAAGGGAGAGCAAATTGCCATATAACATGATGTCGCATACCACGTTAATTCTGAGAAAATCGCGAAAGTACTTATGTCAGGTTTCATGTCAAGCGGGGACTAGAACTGATTACAGTAAGTATAAAAACATTTTACTTCACAGCTTCTTTATAACATAGCCTGTGGTGTAGTATATAATGCCGAAAAAACGATAATAAGACATTGTTAGAAGTGTTCGAACGTGCAGCTGCGGATACGCACAGCCCATAGAGCTTAATCGTCGATCATGGCGAAGATGATGTAGTACGGACAATGTCTCCTCGAATTGCTCTTGGTATATCTGCTATGCTAAGCGTCTATTACCACCTGCTCAGCCGTAAATCAAATGTATACAGCGTATTCCTCGTTTGTGCAATAAACCATCTCATTCCCATATGAAACAGACAAGCAATTTTCTATATGACTACTACCGCAAATAGCTCTATCTTCCTTCGCCAGAAGTCAGTAAGTTCTCCAGCTCCAGCGGATGTCTTTCACAAAGCCATTTAAACTAGTTATGAGGAGCCAACCTAAGAAAGAAATCAGCAATCGGCCAATTAAACGTGATTTACGATAACATGCTCCATGACAATTATTGTTCCTCGTTTGTGCAATCAACCATTTCGTTCCCATATGAAACAGACAAGCATTCATATGACTACCCGCAAATAGCTTCTTCCTTCGCCAGAAGTCAGTAAGTCCTCCAGCGGATGTCTCACAAAGCCATTTAAACTAGTTATGAGGAGCCAACCTAAGAAAGAAATCAGCAATCGGCCAATTAAACGTGATTTACGATAACATGCTCCATGGCAATTATTGTTCACTACTTTCGTCCTTCTGCGTTTGTCGGCATATTAACAAAACACCTTTAAACATATTTGATGATTTTATGTAAAAACTTTAGCTTCTTTTTATTTTTTCCGGCTTAGATAGTTTGCTGTAATTTTAAAGAAATGAAAAAAATATTTATGATAGCTAACAATCCTTTCCATCTTCTCATTTCAACCTATAAATCATTGCTAAAATTTCAAATCTGAATTTACCTTTTTCGTGTGTCTTTAAAACGATGAACTATTTATTGTTTTTGTAAATGGCATTCGTTTAATGCATGTTCAAATATTCAAATTCATGTTTACGTAAGGTGATTTTTATACCAAAGTCTGTACTAAGTTTATTTGTCAAGCAATAAATCAAATATTTTTTCTTTTATTTTAGCCAGTGCATGTGCTTTACCATTTATGACTGTCCATATGAAGGAGCTTGGATTAACAGTTGAAGAAACAGCAATTGTTTATACCTTGTTACCCGTAACTCAGTTTCTTTCTTCACCAATTGCAGGATTTATCGCTGATAGACTAGGAAAATACAGGAACGTGCTATTGCTGTCTATAATAATGACAATCATACTAGCTACATGTCTACTGTACGTTCCTGCTGTAAATAAAAATTCACATCCTAAAATATGGACTGTTAAAATTGTATGTGATCACGAGAATGTAACAGCTGAACGATGTGAAAATACTGCAGTTACTAATGGTATTGAAAACACGCATTTAGAACCTTGTCATTTTAACTGTAGTACTGCAACAAAGCTTAGTAATAACTCCTGGTCCATAACATTTAACGTCACAAACAAAGTCAGTTCAGAAGAATGTGAGTATTATGCAAGTTCAGTATGTGCTTTGTCTATCAAACCCATCTCACCCAACTGCAGTATTATATGCAATGAGCTAAACACCACAGAAAGCATGCCATCTGACAACATTAGAAATGGACAGCATTTAACGTTCTACCTTTATTCATTGGTAAGGATTGTGTACAATATCTTCTCTGCCATTGGATTTACCCTTGTAAATTCATCGGCCTTGGCTCTTACCGAAACCGACACAGAATTAGGAGAATACGGAAGACAGAGGTAAGTATAAATCTTGATTACTGAATAAACTTATCTGAATAATATCCCTCGTAAATCAGTGTTACAGAATAATAAAGGATATCAAATTATTAGCAGCTCAGACTGAAAGTAAATAATTTAGGTGAGTGGCCTTTATAATTTGCAGTGTTCTTTTATAATTTGCAACATGGACTTAAACAGCTGAGGTCACACACATACTCACGCATTTTTAGTATACAAATAAAAAAAAGAAAAGAAGAAGACCCCTTCCCCCCCCCAAAAAAAAAGAAAAACCGTTAAGTTGAGATATAGATGATAATTTTTAATTAAAACATATTTTATTGGTTAATTTAAAGATAAAAAGGAACAGGTTGTAAAATATGTTTAAATTATTTTTCAATTAATTATATTTGGACGAAGTCTTACGCATAATATTACGCATAATATCATTAATAAAAATAATAGATGAATTATTTTACTATAGCAAAGGAAACGAGGGCTGTCTGCTTATCTTAGCGTTGATGGAGGAGAGAACCTTAGGGCGTCATATTCTTTGTTCTCCTAACACCAACTTCTCTAAAGATAATTTTCCATCGACGGATTTAAAGTACCTCCATCCCGCAATGTGGCGTTAGATAAAGATAAGAAATTCGTGTGTGCAATCTCCTCAAGAGTAGCAATCTTCAAGCTGTTAAGAGGTATGAGACGACATGTTCTCGCATTAAAGAAATAGTAATTTGTTCAGTAATGCCTTCTCCAAACATTACAGAAAACATAACTTTTCCAGTGTTAGAAGATTTTAGCAATCTGCACTGTATCTGTTATAAAAGCTTCTTGATATCAGGAGGCTGACGGACCAATAATTCTGCGGCTTCCCTAATATGTCTTCAATTATAACGAATCAGGACGTAAAGTGCAACCAAAAATTGAAACGTCGTGGCCAAATGTCAGCAATATATTCCACACCAAGCAAAAACTCAGAACGCTCTAAGATTCTCGAATAGCCCTCAGACCGGCAATCCCGTTTACGTCTAGAATATTTTTTCTGGGGTCTTTAGCGCTCAAATTACTGTTTATATATCTTATTTTTTTTTATTGAAGTCAAAATAATTACATTTATATGCGGAACAGAAGTACGTCAGTTTCCAATTTCAAATTAGACAAAATTCAATCTTGTAAGGGGATACTTATCTTGTTCCTAATAACCTTACCTTAAAGCTGGTTTATGGAATAACATTGGATCAAAGCTGATATTAAAATTTCATCTTTTTGTTACTGACTGCAGTATCACTTTACGTTCTTCAGTTTTTCATGAAACTCATCCATTTATCGTCTAAATGTAACGATACAACGTTAATACAAACAGTTGCGTTAGAGAAATGTATATATCTCATGATGGCAAAAATGGAAGTTTGTCAAGACAAACATTCGACTCTTCTCAAGACGACAAACATCATTGCAATAATCAGTTTCGTGCTGTATGCGTGCTATAGTTAGAGAATGTTCTTTTGCAACATTTCGCTGTGTATGTTCTTGAAAAGGGTCTTGTATGACTGGCATTTACACAGTGGTTTTACGAATTCTTAGAGGAAAAAATCACAAAGATCTGAAGTTTAGCGCTCGGAGAGGCGAAGAATACAACACAGGGTCATCCTACCCAGTTTGATTAATCCAGTAAGGAAAAGCACTTAAGCTGAGATTGGCCTCAAGAAGTCTTATGAAGTGTCCGACGACTTGGTCATCGCAGAGAAAAGGATGACGAATTACAAGTACAAATGTCTTTCATCGAGATAAGGAGTTTACTGCTAGAATGTTATATTTATCGAGATACAACATGATAATTAAGACACCTGGGTGGGTTATAAGCTCTACCATAACTGTCGAGGTATCCGCCGAAAACGTCTCGGCAAATACATCACGGACGAAACGTTGCGAAGAAAGTAACTTAAGGATAAAATGTCTTCATACAAAATATCGTGCGAAAAAATAAAGCAAGAAGGAAACATTATAGTTCTAAAACATCGTCATCCAAAATAAAGCAGTTCAAAAACATCGGAGTTTTAAAACATCCTCGTAAAAAATATCTTGGTAAAAATTAAAGCACCTGCAAATCATCGTATAAACGATAACATCGTAGACATGCGTTTTCAGACTTTAAAAATTCGCAAATTAACATAATGATTTGTGAACCAAGACGAAATGAGGAATATTTTTACTTTTACATTTCATATTTTTTGAATTAACTAATAAAAATTTGATGAAACAATAAGAAGGAAATTTAAGCATTCAAAAACTGAAAATGAGAAGAAAATAATTTTAAGTATAGCAGTTAATATAATTTTAAATTTATATAGTTAACTAATAAACGTAGATAATTAATTAATCTCTTTCATAAAGTTTTATTGGTAATTTTTCGTGAAAGGTATAGCGTAAAAAAGATTAGAAAAAGAAAGATGAGTAACTACACGTGGTTACTTCTATTAAAAATGTTAAATTAAATATAAGATTTTAAAATTCTGTTAACTGCTATAAGCAGCTTTAATTTTCCACTCGTTTTCAATTTTTTATTGCTTAAAGGGTGTTGGAACCCCCAAATCTTCAAAAAATGATGATTTCGGATTTTTTTCATTTTAAAATTCTCTACACTTTTTTATCTTTTTAAAAATACCATTTTTTAATTTCTATGAAAACTACAACTGTAAAAAATCTACTTTTAATTTGTCATCGAATACTTTGATGAATGAGATGTAGAGACATAAGGATTTTTTTGAAAGCAGGCAAGATGAAAAATTAGCAACCGCCTTCGCCGGGAATCGAATCACAGACCTCTGGAATACCGGCCCAGCGTGCAGAACCACTACAACACGAAGGCACGCTAGGAAAGGTGGGTATTATATACTCCCCTTTTTAGGTGGCGACTGGGGTTTTTTAAGGGAACCCAATCGCCAAATCCTGGGTGTGGAGAATCCTCATCCAACACCCTTTTAGTTCGGACGCCACTGTAGAGACATTAGGATTTTTGGAAGTCGGAGAGATGAAAAATTAGCAATCGCCTTCGCCTGGAATCGAACCACGGTCCTCTGGAATACCGGCCCAATGTGCAGAACCACTACACTACGAAGGCACGCTAGGAAGGGGGTGAAATACCTTATATACTCTTCCTTTTAAAGGGAGACTGGGGTTTTTAGGGGACCCAACCGCCAAATCCTGGGTGAGGAGAATCATCATCCAACACCCTTTTTAGTTCGGGCGCCACTGTAGAGACATTAGGTTAATTGTAAAAGCCGGAAAGAGGAAAAACTAGCAACCGCCTTCGCCGGGAATCGAACTACGGACTTCTGGAATACCAGCCCAGTGTGCAGAACCACTACACCACGAAGGCACGCTAGGAAGGCGGGAGAAATACCTTATACAGGATTTTTACATAAAAACGCGTTTTTCTCCAAACGTAATTTTTATATACTCGGCGTACTTTTTCTCGGGAACTACTGCTCACAGGTATGGCTTATTTATTAGGTTTCCTAATATTTACTAAAATGAGCTTTTTGTGATAAACTAAGAAAAAAAAATTAAAAAAATTTTTGTTTTGAGAAAAGTGCTAAATTTTACTATGCCTAACAAAATATTCTGTAAATTATTCTAAAATTCAAAATGTTTAAAAGCTAAATTCAGTATAATTGGATAGGTATACTTTAATTGCGCAAAAAATTTCAAGCGTATATCTACAGCAGATTTTGAGAAAAGGTACATCGAAAATGGCCAATTTAACATTGTTCGGTATAGGGGTTGCTGATACCCCTTAAGTTTCCTATTTGCTTTTCTAGGGAGGGAAATATTAATTAATTGAAAAGTGTGAAGTATAGTCGTAAAAATATTCTTCATTTCTACTTGCGTTTACAAAAAATTATACGAATATTCAACTTTTAAAGCCTGAAAAACATATGTCTGCGTTGTTTCTGTTTTGCGATGATTTATATGTGCTTTAGTTTTTTACCACGATATTTTTTACGACGTTTTAAAACTGCTTTTTCTCCTTCCTCTCTTTTCTCCCACGACGTTTTGTAAGTTTTCCCACAATGATGTTTTCGCCTTGCGTTGTTTTCTCCGCGACGTTTTCTTCCGCGATATTTCTGCTGCGATGTTTTCGCCTGTAATCACTGTCGAGGGGAAAAAAAAAAAAAAGGCCATTTTCCATAAAACAAAATCTAGAAGGCTGAGATCCTTAAAAGTGCAGAGATGTATAAATTTATGCTACCTACAGATGATTTCGATGATCTCTCTTAGAAACAGACGTCTTGAAGAGATATTTTATATGTGCAAAATATTATTCCACCACTAGCGCTGTCTCTTAAAGCAGGCAGAGTCCCAGAAGACTATACATTCAGATAACATGCTAAACATAAGCAAACATGGGAGGAAAATATGTTTTTTCCTTTTTCTTTCAGAAGATTTATAACAAATTTTTACGTTGCAAGGAATAAAGATTTTGTAAGAAAGTAAAATTTATTCTTTCTTTTTTTAAACGTCGTATATTATATTAATTTTTAAAAGCTACATTATACAATACTTACTTCTCACAAATTAATATAGCTTCTTTCTTTAAGCTATTAAATTAAAGAACTAAGAAAATATACGAATATTACTTCCAGAAGAAAATATGTTAGAATAGGATCACTATGGTATGCTGAATTTTTTTTTCTTGCCTGCATTTTCTATCAAGAATGTGGAATTTAATAACTGATACTTAATAATTAAATAAAATTTATTTATTAAATAAAGAATGTTAAAAGAAGTAGAAAGTTGCTTATATTAGTGACCTTTCGTGATAATTTTTTTTACTAAAGCGACATTTCATGACGGAAAATGTAACTTAATTGACTTCATGAAATAAAATATGTATTATTTATTTAAAATATACTATAATTTATAGTATTATTTAAAATAATAATTATTTAAATATAATTATAATTAAAATTAATTATTAATTAAATTAATTATTTATTAAACAACTATCTGATAAATTTAAAGAAAATATGATCTTTTCTGAGATATAAAGGAACTTAAGTGCTTACGTTTTTAAATAAAAAAGGGAAAGATCTCCACCATACTGTTACGAATTTTGTATATATGCAAAAAACTTTATTGAAATTATTTGTGAAATTTTGGTATTTTTTGTATGATGTAACATGAAATGCTTGAAAGTGACGAAGCTCTGCCCCAAAAATAAGATTACAGGAGCAAGTCTATTTAACACTGAGATAAGCGGCTATCTCGATAAATTGGGGAGATATCGTCGAGCTGGCGACGGTTTGGGCCACAAATTTTTGTCACTAAATTTGACAAGAACTCACCAAAAATCGCAAACTTAGCGGCCATTTGTCGACATTTTGGTTCGGTCCCTTTATAAATGCAATTGGTATTGTAATTGAATAAATGTAATTCCTCCCTATATGTAACTGTAACCGCATCCGGCCATAATATGGCTTCCACTAATTTAGAGAAGTGAAAGGCCCTAGAGATTTCTCGGCGGCCGGGGAAAACTATGTAAGGCTGGAGAGAGCACCAGTTTCTCAGTTTTTCAGGTCAAAGACAACTTCGGAGTGCTGAGATATTTCCGTGTGAGCTTTACTGTTTAGATGAGCTTTGCAATGTGTTGTATTTAACGTTCTTAGATAATTTATTTGTCCTCGTTTCACAAAAATAGCTGAAATTACGTTGTAAGAAACGCTCACATTCCGTTCTGTTCATCGACCCGTGTTCGATTCTAAGTGAAAGAGCTGGCTGTATGGGTTTTTTCTTGGTTTTAATTTGGATACGAGCCAGTTTCTCTTTAATGTCACCTCACCAGTGGCCAAGTGGTTAAGACCGCCGAATACTGGTAGTTTGACTTGGTTTCGTTTCGAAATTAGGCTAACGGGCTGCCGTTTTTAACATGTGTAACCAGTTCCCCTTAGAAAATTCTCCACGAAAACATCCGTCATCTTAAGCAGATTGGCACCGTGACTTTTCCGTATTCAAAACAACCTAACCCGTATGATGTTCTTAATATGAAAGCCTCCATCCCTCTTCGGACGCAGACATCACTCGCGTGCTTTGCCACTATCAAATAAACCAAAAGAAATAATCGAAATTTAGATCAGTAGCTCTCGAATTTTGTTTAAATTATACCCCTCAATCATGAATTAAAAATATAATCAGTCTTAAATTTCCACAGATAGCAGATTTAACTTTTTTTGTAATAACTTGGCAAACTATATAGATTTTATTGTGCTGAAATTTGCATCGGTGATAATACACCCACAATGGCCAATGATTAAAAACTTTTGAGATTTTCATTTGAATGCGTGCTAGGGATGAAGTATGCAATTTTTTATGACGTGAGTTACACGTGGTTAGAATTCTAGTATAAGTAAGGTGTAAGAGGGGTGAAGTTTTCAACTTCACTTCGAATGTTTACGCATTTTCCCAGCGAGCTCAGTTGCCCAGCGGTGGTAGTCAAGGCTCCGTTCAGGCGAAATTTTTGTACAACTTCGATCTCAGCTGAACATAAAAGATAGTTTGAGGACTTGTAAATGCTATTTATTTTTATTTCATCTACCATATATTCAAGAGTTATTAGTGCATTATTATTCAATATAGCCTAAAATGCTTATAAATGTTTGAAATGTGTGACAGAAATTTTTATGCCAAATTTAAATTTTTACATTACTATTGTAAAGAGACTACTGCGCAAAGTCGCATAAGACTTTCCATTCTGTCTGGAATTCCGGTTTTTCAACTTTTAAGCCCAAGAGGAAATGTGAAATGATTGGTAAAGGCCCTCAGGTGTCGAAAACCTCTTATATGAATGATAACCCACTTCAGAAGAAGAGCTTAGAAGTTCTTACTACAGCGTGTTCTGCCTTCTGGCCACGTCGTTGCTTTAAGCCACATCTTACTACGTTCGGCCGTATTGTTTGTTACGTGCCTGCTAATATTCTTCGGTGAACTTGAATAAGGGCCAACTCTGTTAGTTATTTCTGTGCAGCTTCGGCTGGTTTTAGTTTAGTTAGCATTTGATTAGTTAATTTAGAAGCCAAACAACAAAAATCAGCGTTATATTTTCAAATTTTCACAGGACTAGTTTCGATGGTTTTACCGAACCATCATCCTCAGCTGCAAAAGAGAAAAAAAAATGTTTTTTGGTTTCTAAATTAATGTTTGTTCCCCGTGTTATTGTATCTTAATTATTTGATTAGTTTCTTATTTTCTATTTAAGCCCAAGTGGGGACTTGCTGTAAGGCCGAAAGGGAGGCCATCTATGAATTATTATTGAGTTGAATTAAAGGGTAATTTAACCCTTCTTTGTACATGTCTTTTCCACGTGAACTCAACAATAATTCGCTACACAGTTTATAAGTATTCTAGCTGCAGAGGACTACTAATTTAGCTAGATCATTATAAATTGTCAGGGAAGAATTTCAAATGGGAGTGAAGGAAATGCAGCTTAAGTGACATGTTGCAACCTATCCTCTTATAAGATTGGATAAGTTCTTCAACTAGATCTTTGTAGTTCTCCGATTTTTTTCTATCAAGGATGTTGCTACATAACATTTTTAAAAGCAGTCCACGCCCTATTCTCTTTCTTGGAAAGTGAGCTTTCAAAATTTTCGTCTTTAAAATTTCTCATATTTGTGGCCCAACAACAATTTCCTTTTTTATGCTTTGTCTCACTTTTGCATGCGAATTTCCGTCTCAAATAAAGAAAAGCATTTACTTCTCTATTTAAGACTTTAACAAAAATTTTTGCAATTTGCTATTTTTATGTGCAGAGGAGGTAAATAAATGTTTTAATGTTCTGTTAAAGGTTAATTGAGGATATTTTTCAGACCATGCACTATATCTTCACGTAACAACCAATGACATAATGTTGGTTTCTGGTTCTGCTGTCCCATTCGCACAAAAAACAACACTGCTTGGTATAGCCACTGTGCAGTCCCGTAAGCAGTGTAACAACTTTTCGATCGGCACAGATATTCCCTTTATGATCTATGTCATTTATGCTTTAAAGTAATATACACATGTTCTCATTCATTTCTTTCTTGTTTACAGAACGACCCGCGGGAACAGATGGTTGTTCGTTTCCATTAAACAATAAAACTGCATTCAGACTTTTCTTCGAAGAGTAAATAAATAATTGCCACTCGATTGGTTTATAGTAAATGTTGTTGATGTTTTCTAGATTTTGCTACGTGATAAGACAATTTTAAAATCAGTGTAAGGGTTACATAGGCAGAAATTACCGAAATAACATATGAGTTTGGCGGAGAGGATTTTCATGCAAAACAGCGTTATCGGAGGAATAAGCCAACAAGAATCAGTTTAATATTCATAAAGTGGCAGGACTTCCGTGCTGCAGCTGAAGTTCTTAAATTCTTATTCTGCAGCTGAAGAAGCATGTTTTATATTTAAACCCTTGAAACTAGTTTTGCAAATTTGTGAATATTCATAAATTCATATTGCTCATATAATATTCATCAGGACTTCATAAATTCTTATTGCTGCAGCTGAAGAAGATTGTTTTATGTTTAAATCCTTAAAACTAGTCCTGCAAATTTATGAATATTACTCTGATTCTTCTCGCCTGAACACCTCCAAAAATTACGCCAAACATCAAGGCTTATTGAACTACGGATTTCAAAATATTTAAAACCATTTATTGAACTAAATTCGAAATTAAATCTCATGTGTAACATATACTATGTTTTTTCAACCAATTATAAGTTTAACTGAAGTGGGGGAAATTATTTCCATAAATTAGATATTTTATTTATACACTTTGTGACGAAAAAACTATGTAGCAAATGAAGCACTGAGCGAGGAATCAGAATTTAGCATTCTCTTGATTTATAAGCATTTCATTTCAAATTTTATTTATTAATTAAAATATTTATGTTTCATTTCACTTTTATAGGTTTTGGGCAATATTAGCGATGGCAATATTCTCCCCACTAGCTGGAATACTGGTAGACGTAATTAGCACTGGAGATAGAGTTATCAACTATGCTCCCGCATTCCACACTCATAATATTTTAGCATTACTGACAGCTGTAGCAGTATGGTATTTGGATTTTGAAATGGAAGATGCCCCTCAAAGCTATATTGAAACTTTCAAGAATTTTTGGACATTGATAAGAAGTCCTTCCATATTTTTCTTGCTATTAGTGTTATTCTGGTTAGGAACAATGTGGGGTTTCCTAGAGTCATTTTTATTCTGGTTTATGCTAGAGCTGGGAAGCCCAACTTACATGTTAGGCTTAACAATTACTGTCGGTTCCTTAGTAGGTCTACCGTTTCTTCACTACGCAAGATTCCTTGTATCGAAGATTGGATACGCGAATTTAGTGTCTGCGGCAGCTTTTATGTACATGATCCGTTGTGTGGGATGCTCATACCTCGTAGATCCTTGGTGGATCATGCCTTTCGAAGCTTTAGAAATTTTTACGTACCATCTAATGTGGGTTGCAGCTGCAACATACGCAGCTCATCTGTCATCACCTGGCCTTTTAGCAACTATACAAGGATTTATTGATGGCATACATTATGGAGTTGGTAAATATGGCTTCTACGTTATTTTACTTTAAGTTAATTTTGAACTAAATGTTTATCATAAGTAATATAGATTAAGTCCTGTAAAAGACACGAAAGATCTGATAACATCGTAAAAATATGAAGACGTATGTTGAAACCGAAACAAGGAGAAAGAATATTACATAATATTCACTCAAATATTTTATCATTTAAAAACTTCCATAAACAGTTGCATATATATATCCTAATAAGCAAATATACTCCAAAAATATTTATAAACAGAGTAGCAGTTACAAAAAAAATATATATATAATAAAGATAAATAAGAGTGTTATGTCATATAAAACGCAATCTATTGATTCACAATCAGTAAAATAAGTAATATCTATACGGATAGCCCTATTTCTTCCTGCAACAAACTCATCCATAGTCTGATCATTCGATGCAATTAGTAATCGCCATGTGATGCGCGGGTGAACATGGTTTGTGCGTGAGTGCATTCATATTACGGATTTGTTAAATATTTATAAATGAGGCGTAGCTTCCTGTCGAATTCCAAAAGAATTTTTCTCATAAAGCTATCTTTCAGAAAATGGGTTACAGCTGCGAATTCCAAGCGTTGGCAAAATTAATGGTCCCTGAAGAAATTTTGATAGATTTCGAACCGAATATTTAAAAACAATAAAGTAAGTAACAAAGCTTGTACCGAATAAGACGATGGCTATATTTAGCAATTATTTAGAGTTATATTTATTCCTCTGAGATACTCTTAAAAAAATTTCGAGATCTTTCATAAATAGTCCTAATAATAGCCGCATGTAATTTTTTAGCGAAAATTTCTAATAAATACCTTTGAGATCAGATGGATATCAGTACAGAAGCATGAGTTCCAAACTCCAATTCGTAGATACAAAAAAATTCGAAACTTTTATGCAGCTCTTAGAACAGCTTCTTTTTCTTTGACCTTTCTTCTCACTGTATTAAAAATTGTTTAAATAAAAAAATTCTAATAATATTTTTCAGTTTCAGTTTGACATACTATGAAAAAACTCCTTAAAATCCCTTTAGGATAAGAGATTCCTAACTCACTGAAGTTTTAACTGAAGTTTTAACATAACTGAAGTTTTCTCGGCAAACTGACATGAAAAATTTTAATTTTTATACCCTAACTAAAAGGCGTCATGTGATCAACACTTTCGCAGTCTGAAGTGAACCTTTCTAGATTTAGTTTCTGAAACGGAGCCATTAATTACGAACTAACTGGTAAAAACATTTTAATCCACCAATTGTTTCTAAACATTATGCATGTGAGTCTTATACTCCGACCAGTGTGACATATTTGTTTACATTCGCTATTTTATTGACTTAATCCACAATTATCATCAACGTGTTTTCAACTAAAGTTTGTCGGAAAGTATAAAACAGTAATTTATGCTCATCAAGGGAAGAAAATAATTATTTTAATGAGTATTGTATCACGTGAATATTTCCTTTTCTTTACACCTCAAACTGCAGAAAATGCACGGAATTTATATGCTTTGAGTACAAATTTTGTTTCCCGTAGTTAATTCATCTTACGACTCTTGCTTACAGAGTTATTAATATTGTTAATATTGTTATCACAACACCGACCAAAGAGGCTAGAATAAATGGAGTAAGCCTCTCCCTTATGTCCCGTGCAATGAAACGTCATAGTTTGATGTCACAACTTAACATGCCCGCTGCCATATGTTGACTTTTGGTTGGTTTTGTTTACATCTTAATCAGTGTTGTCAACATTCAGCTATACATCATTGAACCTTTTTAAGTCTCTAGTTCTAATTTTAATACTTAACATACATGATTTTCTACTTAGTATATAAAAAAGTCGCAAGGATTGCAAATAACTGTTTGAAATTTAATAAAATCTAGCTACATGAAAATGTGGAAATGGTAATTATAAGACAAATGTATACATGGTAAAATATAGAAGACCAAGTGTACATTTCAATGGTATTTTACGTAAATTATGCTTCAAGACACTTTTCTGAACCTACGAACATTAATGATACCTCTCAAAGTCTCAGTGTAATTTTATTCCGCAATATGTTTCGTAGTCTCATCCGTACGCTTTATGACAGCCATGATAAGTCGTGATGTCATGTTGTTGTCATTTTCTTGATTTCATTTTTGTGACGTCATGCTAACTCCATCTAGTCCAACCTCCTTGATAACAACAGATTAATCATAAACAAAGAAACCGCATTTTTAAATTTAAATTTCTTATTGTATCTATATTAATGATTACATATAAATTTTTAGAATTTGCCATTATTATGCTTCAAGTATCATTCACATAACGAAAACCACAAAGGGGAGGAATGGCAACTGAAATTTTGTCACTTTCAGATATTATTCCGCCAGGACACATCTTTCAAAATATACCGGCCAGCCAATGGCCAAGCGCTTAAATCGTTAGTTAGTGAAGCGGTGAACGAGGCGGCTAGATGAAGCCAATAGACTTCCCGAAATTTATCTTTGTTATCTTTTATAACTCGAAGTGCAAGGATGTAGGCATTACTTAAACACGAAAGAAATACGCTTTGAAAAATCTACCATGAAAAGCACCACTTTATACCCTGCCGCGATTTTAATAATGAATATTTAATTTATTTCTCAATTAAATATGCCTTTAACTGTTGAATATGATGTCAGGTCCAGCATACAGAAGAATTTTTAATTTAGAGTTTATTAAAAGCGTCTCCAAATTAGAGTTTATCTTTTAATAACTATTACACTATATGGTCTCCTTAAGATTAAAATTTCTGGAAATTAGTAGTTAGAAATTACAATAAATATAGTATTTTACATCCAGTCTTAGTTATCTAAAGTAGATAAATAGTTCTCTCCAGAAATAATAAACTTGGAAAGGTGACTTTTTTTGCAAACTATCTTAAAATTTTGATAATAATATAAATTCTTCCAAAGTTTCTTAACAGACTTTTTCTCATTCATTAATTTTTAATAACTAATTTTTCATATCTAATATTGTGTTAATTAGATTTCTTAGCCTTAGTAAACTATAATTACTGTACAGCATCAATAAACTCATTTCTTGAAAGTTACACTTTTTTGTGCGCCATTAAAATATTTTCGATTGTCGTTTTTTTACAGCAATAAAATAGTTTGATACAAGCAATAATTGGTGGACATCACATCTCCCCATTTCTTATGAGAGGAAAAAAAATAATGCCATATTTACAGATAAAATAAGGATACTTAGAACATTATAATTCTTTCTTACAATGCAAAGTCCTCTTAAAATCTATAGTTGGATTTAATATAATTGTATGCAGAATTTATTTATTTAAGTTATTTTAACTTTTATTATTTATTTTATTTAAAAAAATTCGGTATTCTTTGTATACCATACAAATGTTAGTTTTATTTTCCTTTTTCTGCAGGCCAAGGATCCGGAAGCATGATTGGTGGAAGCCTAATGAGTGTTTTGGGATCTCGACAAGCTTTCAGAGTGATGGGTGGAATTTCGGGTTTAGTCGCTCTTACGTATTCTTTTTTACATTTAGTTTGGCTTAGAAAAGAAAGCGCGCAGCCTCAGTCAAGACGAGCTTCAATAAAAAGCTTCGGTAGCCACAAATATGGTAAGATTTAGAATATATTTTCGTACTTTCTGTTTTAAATTAACCGTCATTCTGATGTTTATTCTGAGACATGGTATTTAGAAACAAATACTATCGAACTGAAAAAAAAAAAAAAAAAAAAAAATGAAACTTATTAGCACAAATACTTGTTTCCAAATAGTTTGCGAATTGAAATGATTTGCTGCAAATTAAACATTTCGGACCATAACAATGCTGACCATGAGCACAAATACATAAGCGCGATCCAGAAACACTTACGAATCAAATAAGACGGTTGAGTACAATCCTAGCAGCAGCGTCCTTATTATTATATCTCCCACTCTGATTATTATAGCTTAGTTACAAAAACTGAAATTGTACTACAACAACTGCATCACGCTGCGAAATCGTTTCAGAAACCAAATATGCTAATATATTATTCTTTCTATCATTTCAATACAAATCTTTTCCTCATGAAGAATTGGCTTTTTTATAACCTTGTTGTTCTCTTGCCTATCTACCTTTTCAGCTGAAATGAATATCGCTCCGTCAATTTTACAAAAGCATTTAAAACAATTACCATCGGTAAGTTATACGGAGACATTCCAGGCGTACACCAATGAAAGATAAATGTAAGCAACATTTATCTTTCATCGCAACATCTATCTTTTATCATTACAGTATAGTGCTCTAGTTCTCGTTTTTTACAATCTTCTTCAGTGTCAAAAGCAGGTCCACCAGCCCCCGAGTGCTAAGGTCTATGTGTTCAGAGTTCAGTCCAGAGTTCGAATCTCGGCGAACAGGCTGGTTGCGTGGTGGTTTATTGAAAGCTTTACTTTGGGTTAAAGATAGTAAAATAAAGGCAAATATTTATTCTGACAGTCAGGCAATATTAAGCCAATTGACAAGCATAATATCTATAATAAAATATATTAGAAATTAAAAAGGTACTTTCAAAGACGAGGAGATTACATTGGATCCGAGGGCATCAAGTACCCACTGGAAATGAAAAGGCTGATAAATTAGCAAAATCAGGAATATATTCAAACGCTGTAATTCAATGTAATATTCTGAGAAGCTACATTATCTTACTGGCTAATTTAAATTCTTTCCAAAAGTTTCAGAAAAGAGATATTTCTCAGATTTCTGTCTGAATCAAATAGTGACAAATCATGGTGCACTCCTCAGATATCTTCATAGATTTATTTAACCTGAAAGGTAACTGCTGCTCATTCAGTTGTGGAAACACATTGGCGGACGCATTTCATGTGATTATAGAATGTCCAAGCATAAACGCAGAAACACTAAAACTGTTTCCACAACCATTATCCGAAGATAAGTTAACCCTTTGCGGTACAGTGTGTCCGGTCTGGACACACCTAAAAATTTCCTCCTGTACACACAGAAAAATTGAATGAAAAAGGATTTATAGGTTACTTTGAACCTTCTTTATTAGTAGATGGCAGCTCAACACAAACCAGTCCATATATTTTAGCCATGTTTAGTTTTTTAAGACCCTCATTTTTCAAAGAAATCTTCCAGAGTTTTTTATGGTATAAAAGGAATTGTTTGAAAAGAAATTTCTATGTTATTTTTTTGGCTGTATGCCAATCTCCTTATTCTATATCAGTTTTAAATTTTTACCTTGAAATGTTGCCTAAAATCAAAAGGCGAACCCTAAGTGTGCCCAGACCGGGCTCACCGATAATCTAGGACAACTGAGAAACTGTATTCTTTGTTTCTCCGCATCTCATCGGTCAGTTCATTGACAACAATGCTCGGTTCAGCACTCTTTTCGAAGCTCTATTCAATCAATGTGCCCACAGAATTAAAAGATAAGTACTATCTTCACAAAATTTTACATGTGTTCTCCTCTAGGCCTAATCAGACTGCCTGGCCTTTTTTTTTTTTTTTTTTTTTTTTTAATCAAAACTCCAACTTTAAAAGGTAGCGTACCGGAAAGGGTTAATAAAGCTTATGTGTATGGACCGAGGAAGATCTGCCATCTCGAAGCTTATGGAACTTATTTATTTCAAAGAAACTGAATTATAATTATCAATCAGTAATTGTTCTAACTGTATCTTGTATTTTTGTTATTATACTCTATTCATGTGTAGCTAATTATTGTATTAATATTGATTTCCTAGAAGTGTGAAATTTACACTGTATTGTTTATTGAATTATTATTGTCTGTATAGCAATCATAGTATTACCATTGTTTTACTATAAGTGTGAAATTTACACTGTTTGTTTATTATTTTAATTAATATCGTTTGTTTAAATAGTAATTATTCATTAGTATCCTTTTCCTAAAAATGTGAAATTTAAACTGTATTGTTTATGATTTGAATCATTGACTGTTTGTTCAAATTTAATTTGTATGAAGTAAAGATGTTGGCGAGGTCAACACATTTCTAGTCAGGGAACTCTAAAAATTTAATTTTGCCTATGGACAATTGGGGTTTCATTCATATAAATTTGTTTATTATTTATTTTTATTAGTCCAATTTAGTCCATTTTATTAGTGTCTCTGAAGTACTATTGTTTTCGTTTTGTGATTTTGCGTTGAATCACTATAAACGGCGAATCACTTTTCAAACTGTTGCTACCAAACCTGCATTATATTTGAAGAAATTAAATAATGAAAAATCTGCATAAATGTATGCATATTTCTCGCATTGTGATAAAACAGCGGAACACAGAGCCATCGAATTTTGAATGACATAACCCTCCTACGAATATGGCATGTGGAAGACCAAATTTGGAATTTGTTTTTTATCGATTTCATTTTTTGTAAAATTTTAACGAATTTTTGATTAACAAACTCAAGGATTTCAAAGCCAGCAATGGCAACGTTGTACAGAAAAAACTTTTTTATCTCTAGTGCGCGAGACTCTGTATCGGAAATTCTAAAGGTACGCTCATTTTGAAACTATTTTGCGATATTGCTGTTGAACTGAATTTTATGGTTTAAGTGCGAAGAACGTGATTTTTAATAAATATATGTAACACACAAAATGTTAAAAAAACGCCCCTTTGAAATTAATTTAAAATCTGAAACATTTTTTTTTTTTTTTTTTTTTTTCATATACCTTAAGAAGTATTCAAAATTTCGTCTATGGTTCCAATGATACCTCTGCTAATGAGATGAGGATCGGACTTCCCATTTCGTGCTTCAACTTCACTCTCTTGTTTGAGGATAAATGCTACCATTCCACGGATTGCTGCTTCGATTCAAGTGTATCGTAAGCCACCTAGGTTTCGTCGCCTGCGACAATTAAACTTAAAAAATCATCATCTTCCTCACTGTGCCCCTGAAGGATAGTTAAAGCATTACTTAAACGCTTGGTTTTGTGCCCCTCTGTCAACATTTTCGGTACCCAGATAACTTAAGCATTCGCTCAATTTCATACAGAACACTGATCATCATCAGATAATAACAAAATCGAAAACCGTCTGCGTCAACTATCTGCACCAAATCTTGAGTAATGACAGAAGGTCGCCCACTTCGTTCATCATCACAAATATTCGTGCTTCTATCTTTAAAAGCCACTAACCCATTTCGTACCATTCCATCGCTCATATTTTCCCCGTACACTTCACTAATCTGCCGATGAATTTCAGCCACGTTCACGTCTTTAACACTAAAAAAAAATGTAAAAAAAAAAATAATAATAATCACCGATAGTATTTCACAGTCGGCAGGATTCTCAAATCGGCGGAGCAATTTTAAATATTTAAATTATTGTATTAATATTGATAACAATAATAATTCAAAACAAATAATAATTCAAAACAAACGTTAACATGGTCAAAAGTTTCCGTAATGGCGCGCCCATTGCTTTCTAACAGATGTAGGTAAATTGCGCGCAAGCGCGAAATGCCAACCGCAGCAGAATTTCAGAACGGTACTCACTTTGAAAACATGCCTCGTGCAGTAAATAATATTTGCTATTTGCTTTCCTTTCTGGTGTAGCAATTTTAATAGCCAGCAATATATTAAAATACAGGGTACCTCATTAAATTAGATATTTTTCAAAAATACAATAAAAGAATTGGCATGCAAAGACTTAGCAAAGCTGCAGGTATTTGGGAGGAAGGCATAAGAATAAATTTCAGTTCAAAATTTTCATCAACAGATAAGATTGTTAACACCGCATTATAAGAGCAGTCGGAAATAAGATTATTTAGTACAACGCGTGTAACCACGGGTAATAAGTTCCAAAAAATCAAGGATAACAGTGAATGTGATATGAATCAGAACATTTGCGCGTAGTTAAGATAAAGTTTAACTGGTAAATTATGCAGGCAAGACATTATCAATATTAAATAATATAGTAATAAAGTTTTCGGTGCACAAAAATACATGACATTTTCTTAAACGAAATAACATAAAATAGTATACTATAAATCAGAATGTATTCTCTGTCATGATAAGAGATTTTTGAAATCTTAATTTAATGTGGAAAAACGCGTGCAAGAGATGAAGATATGCAATTCTTGTACTATAGGGCATAAGATACTTGAAACAACAGCAAAAATAAAAATATTCATTTTCATAGCACTAATAATTTCCAAGTACTTGGAACACCATTAATGTTTTGGGACCCTTACTGTGGTACTTAGAACTTCAAAGAATAATACTGTTGCAATAATCGATTACTAATGAAAATAAGGAGAATATGAAAGGCAACAGTGGAAGAAATTATAAAAAATTATGGGTACGGAAATTAAGATAAATCAATACTCTGTAATTACTCATAGCCACCAAAGAATGCTGGTAGTTCAACCTGGATTCGATCCTAGGTGAACAGACTGACTGCATAGATCGTTTTCGTGGGTTCGCCCATGTGAAACATAAATACAAGCCATTTCCCTTTAAAAAGTCCTCCACAAAGACATCCTTTCTATCAAGCAGATAGCTCTCGTGTGTTTTGTCATATTCAAATAACATAACCATTTATGACCATCATACAAATAAGGCTACACAAGGAATATTTTCATTTCCCGTATTTAGTTTCATCGGTTCCAGACGATCACGCATACGTTTTAAATCGTTCATTTGCACTTCGAAACTAAAAAGCTATCTTTTTTTCACCTCTCTGCTGATACAAACCATACTGGGATATGACTGTCTAACGCTGA